TAAAATTATAATGACCAAATATTTTTTTATCACGTTCTTATAAATATATTATAGAGATCAGCCCAACGGAAATTATGATCGACTGTAATTTTAATAGGTATTGTGACGCTTTTTTTTTCGATAGCATGATATTTTTAAAGTAATTCAATTGTTTTTAGTGTCAAAAAAAAATGATACTACAGATACAACATCGTTTGTAATAAATTGACTTAGTATAAATATGAATAAATTCATAAGAAAAAGTGAGTCTCCTTAATCTCTGGTCTACAAAAGCTATATATTATTATTGCACATTAATTATATAAGTATATAAAAAAATAATCAAATAAATAATACAAATAATTAGGCATTAGTAAAATTGTGATGACTTAAAATATATATTTTTTTTAAATCATTAATCTCTATATTTAGTAGTCTATGACATTATTTGGGAGTATTGTCGAATTTGCATTTTTTTAATTGATAATAAACAACATGGCTTTTTTTATCGTTGAAAAATAGATATTTGATTTGTGAGGTACAGGGGAAAACACCGCCATTAAATTTTTTGACGAAAATAAATGGCACAAGCCAATCAATACCTTTGAAGGTGCAGAATCCAAATATGATCTTAATTTGAGGAAAAATCCATCATTGCATTCAAAAGTTAGATTATTAATTCATCAGAGGGGGGGTCAGATTGAGGGGGATGAGGGTTAGGCAGAGGGAGGGGGGTTAGTTTTAACTTCTACCAGGAGAGCAGAATTCTTACAATGAAACAGTGCCTTTAAATTCTGCAAAATACAGAGACATACTGCATCACATGAAATTCCTCGGAAACCAAGAGACAAAAGCGTTATACTAAAAAACTAACCTCCAATAACCTTTCTGAGGATTGAGGTGATTGCTTGACATAGAGGCATCAGAAGAAGAAGAAGAATAGTCATTAGTCATTTTTTTGGTTTTAATGAAAGGCCTGCGAAAAGCAATTTGGTGTTCTTTTGTCGTTGACCACTTTACCTTTACATAAAAATCCCACATATTAAGAATTACTTATACTTCCGAACGAAAATAAATGGCACAAGCCAATCAATACCTTTGAAGGTGCAGAATCCAAATATGATCTTAATTTGAGGAAAAATCCATCATTGCATTCAAAAGTTAGATTATTAATTCATCAGAGGGGGGGTCAGATTGAGGGGATGAAGGTTAGGCAGAGGGGGGGGTTAGTTTTAACTTCTACCAGGAGAGCAGAATTCTTACGATGAAACAGTGCCTTTAAATTCTGCAAAATACAGAGACATACTGCATCACATGAAATTCCTCGGAAACCAAGAGACGAAAGCGTTATACTCAAAAACTAACCTCCAATAACCTTTCTGAGGATTGAGGTGATTGCTTGACATAGAGGCATCAGAAGAAGAAGAAGAATAGTCATTAGTATTTTTTTTTGGTTTTAATGAAAGGCCTGCGAAAAGCAATTTGGTGTTCTTTTGTCGTTGACCACTTTACCTTTACATAAAAATCCCACATATTAAGAATTACTTATACTTCCGAACGAAAATAAATGGCACAAGCCAATCAATACCTTTGAAGGTGCAGAATCCAAATATGATCTTAATTTGAGGAAAAATCCATCATTGCATTCAAAAGTTAGATTATTAATTCATCAGAGGGGGGTTAGATTGAGGGGGATGAGGGTTAGGCAGAGGGGGGCTAGTTTAACTTCTACCAGGAGAGCAGAATTTTACAATGAAACAGTGCCTTTAAATTCTGCAAAATACAGAGACATACTGCATCACACGAAATTCTGGGAAACCAAGAGACAAAAGCGTTATACTCTAAAAAACTAACCTCCAATGATGACCTTTCTGAGGATTGAGGTGATTGGTTTGACATAGAGGCATCAGAAGAAGAATAAGAATAGTCATTAGTAATTTTTTTTGGTTTTTACTGAAAGGCCTGCGAAAAAGCAATTTGGTGTTCTTTGTCGTTGACCACTTTACCTTTACATAAAAATCCCACATATTAAGAATTACTTATACTTCCGAACGAAAATAAATGGCACAAGCCAATCAATATCTTTGAAGGTGCAGAATCCAAATATGATCTTAATTTGAGGAAAAATCCATCATTGCATTCAAAAGTTAGATTATTAATTCATCAGAGGGGTGGTCAGATTGAGGGGGATGAGGGTTAGGCAGAGGGGGGGTTAGTTTTAACTTCTACCAGGAGAGCAGAATTCTTACAATGAAACAGTGCCTTTAAATTCTGCAAAATACAGAGACATACTGCATCACACGAAATTCCTGGGAAACCAAGAGACAAAAGCGTTATACTCAAAAACTAACCTCCAATGACCTTTCTGAGGATTGAGGTGATTGCTTGACATAGAGGCATCAGAAGAAGAAGAAGAATAGTCATTAGTAATTTTTTTGGTTTTACTGAAAGGCCTGCGAAAAGCAATTTGGTGTTCTTTTGTCGTTGACCACTTTACCTTTACATAAAAATCCCGCCATATTATTAGGAATTACTTATACTTCCGAACGAAAATAAATGGCACAAGCCAATCAATATCTTTTGAAGGTGCAGAATCCAAATATGATCTTAATTTGAGGAAAAAATCCATCATTGCATTCAAAAGTTAGATTATTAATTCATCAGAGGGGGGGTCAGATTGAGGGGATGAGGGTTAGGCAGAGGGGGTTAGTTTTAACTTCTACCAGGAAGGGAGAGCAGAATTCTTACAATGTAACAGTGCCTTTAAATTCTGCAAAATACACAGAGACATACTGCATCACATGAAATTCCTCGGAAACCAAGAGACAAAAGCGTTATACTCAAAAACTAACCTCCAATGACCTTTCTGAGGATTGAGGTGATTGCTTGACATAGAGGCATCAGAAGAAGAAGAAGAATAGTCATTAGTAATTTTTTTGGTTTTACTGAAAGGCCTGCGAAAAGCAATTTGGTGTTCTTTTGTCGTTGACCACTTTACCTTTACATAAAAATCCCACATATTAAGAATTACTTATACTTCCGAACGAAAATAAATGGCACAAGCCAATCAATACCTTTGAAGGTGCAGAATCCAAATATGATCTTAATTTGAGGAAAAATCCATCATTGCATTCAAAAGTTAGATTATTAATTCATCAGAGGGGGGGTTAGATTGAGGGGGATGAGGGTTAGGCAGAGGGGGGGTTAGTTTTAACTTCTACCAGGAGAGCAGAATTCTTACAATGAAACAGTGCCTTTAAATTCTGCAAAATACAGAGACATACTGCATCACATGAAATTCCTCGGAAACCAAGAGACAAAAGCGTTATACTCAAAAACTAACCTCCAAATGACCCTTCTGAGGATTGAGGTGATTGCTTGACAGAGGCATCAGAAGAAAGAAGAAGAAGAATAGTCATTAGTAAATTTTTTGGTTTTACTGAAAGGCCTGAAAACAATTTGGTGTTCTTTGTCGTTGACCACTTTACCTTTACATAAAAAAATCCCACATATTAAGAATTACTTATACTTCCGAACGAAAAATAAATGGCACAAGCCAATCAATATCTTTGAAGGTGCAGAATCCAAATATGATCTTAATTTGAGGGAAAAATCCATCATTGCATTCAAAAAGTTAGATTATTAATTCATCAGAGGGGGGTCAGATTGAGGGGGATGAGGGTTAGGGCAGAGGGTTAGTTTTAACTTCACCAGGGAGAGCAGAATTCTTACAATGTAACAGTGCCTTTAAATTCTGGCAAAAATACAGAGACATACTTGCATCACACGAAATTCTGGGAAACCAAGAGACAAAAAGCGTTATACTCAAAAACTAACCTCCAATGACCTTCTGAGGATTGAGGTGATTGTTTGACATAGAGGCATCAGAAGAAGAAGAAGAATAGTCATTAGTAATTTTGGTTTTACTGAAAGGCCTGCGAAAGTAACAATTTAGTGTTCTTTTGTCGTTGACCACTTTACCTTTTACATAAAAAAATCCCACATATTAAGTAATTACTTATACTTCCGAACGAAAATAAATGGCACAAGCCAATCAATACCTTTGAAGGTGCAGAATCCAAATATGATCTTAATTTGAGGAAAAAATCCATCATTGCATTCAAAAAAGTTAGATTATTAATTCATCAGAGGGGGTCAGGGATTGGAAGGGGATGAGGGTTAGGCAGAGGGAGGGGGTTAGTTTTAACTTCTACCAGGAGAGCAGAATTCTTACGATGAAACAGTGCCTTTAGAAATTCTGCAAAATACAGAGACATACTGCATCGCCATGAAATTCCTCGGAAACCAAGAGACAGCAAGTTATACTAAAACCAACACTCCAATAACCTTTCTGAGGATTGAGGTGGTTGCTTGACATAGAGGCATCAGAAGAAGAAGAAGAATAGTCATTAGTATTTTTTTTGGTTTTAATGAAAGGCCTGCGAAAAGCAATTTGGTGTTCTTTTGTCGTTGACCACTTTACCTTTACATAAAAATCCCACATATTAAGAATTACTTATATTTCCGAACGAAAATAAATGGCACAAGCCAATCAATACCTTTGAAGGTGCAGAATCCAAATATGATCTTAATTTGAGGAAAAATCCATCATTGCATTCAAAAGTTAGATTATTAATTCATCAGAGGGGGGTTAGGATTGAGGGGGGATGAGGGTTAGGCAGAGGGAGGTTAGTTTTAACTCTACCAGGAGTATAGAATTCTTACGATGAAACAGTGTCTTTAAATTCTGCAAAATACAGAGACATACTGCATCACACGAAATTCCTCGGAAACCAAGAGACAAAAGCGTTATACTCAAAAACTAACCTCCAAAGACCTTTCTGAGGATTGAGGTGATTGCTTGACATAGAAGCATCAGAAGAAGAAGAAGAAGAATAGTCATTAGTAATTTTTGGTTTTTACTGGAAAGGTCTGCGAAAAGCAATTTGGTGTTCTTTTGTCGTTGACCACTTTACCTTTACATAAAAATCCCACATATTAAGAATTACTTATACTTCCGAACGAAAATAAATGGCACAAGCCAATCAATACCTTTGAAGGTGCAGAATCCAAATATGATCTTAATTTGAGGAAAAATCCATCATTGCATTCAAAAGTTAGATTACTAATTCATCAGAGGGGGGTCAGATTGAGGGGGATGAGGGTTAGGCAGAGGAGGGGGGGTTAGTTTTAACTTCTACCAGGAGAGCAGAATTCTTACAATGAAACAGTGCCTTTAAATTCTGCAAAATACAGAGACATACTGCATCACACGAAATTCCTGGGAAACCAAGAGACAAAAGTGTTATACTCAAAAACTAACCTCCAATGACCTTTCTGAGGATTGAGGTGATTGTTTGACATAGAGGCATCAGAAGAAGAAGAAGAATAGTCATTAGTAATTTTTTTGGTTTTACTCAAAGGCCTGCGAAAAGCAATTTGGTGTTCTTTTGTCGTTGACCACTTTACCTTTACATAAAAATCCCACATATTAAGAATTACTTATACTTCCGATTGTAATTGGTAAACTTTAATAATGCATGTGTTTTCCCATGTATCCTTCAAATATTAAACGTTTCTATCTGAACTATTTGTTTCTTTTTTATCCAAGGCACAAATTTTCTCTTTGTGATTAACAGAGGGAGCTACTGGCGTAACCCTCTCCCATTCCCAGTCACCTGTCAAGGGTATTTCATTTTCGAAATCAAAATTCCATCTGGCCATCTGTTCCAACCTATGCTCTTCAGTCATTTGAGAGAGATCGGTGATTTTGAACGTGCATTCAGTACTGGCGGATTCAAAGTTTTCTGCTGGTTGTGTATCATTATCAACTTTCGGTTGGTTTCGGGGTTTCGAAGCAGGAGTTTTTGTGTTTTCTGAACTTCCAGCGTCAGCTTCCGATGAGTTGTGTGGTTCTGACGGTTGTATGTCCGGTTCATCGTCGAATATCAGTTTCCGTCTGACTTGTTCCCTCTTCCGTTGATTCGGCGTGAAGTTGGACATATTTCTGAAACAAGAAACCTCTTGTAAATATCTTAACCTTCTAAAGGGTATATAGTTCAGTCATTGGGGATTTTTGCTTGGAAAAATGTCCGGAAGTTTTGCAACTTTGCAGGTTTATAGGTTTTGGGGTCCCTAACTAAAATCCATAAAATGCACATTTCCAGACTTGCCGCCGGCGCCGCCATCTTGTCAAGATGGCGCTTAAAATCGGTATTTTGTAAATATCTCGAAAACTATGCGTTTTCCGCAAAAATTTGAGGAGAGCAAAATTAAAGAGAATAAAATTTTCTATAAAAAAGGTTTTATGAAAATTTTCGCTAAAGTCAACCGTTTAGGCACAAAATCCCTGGAAATTTTACAATTTTGCATAAAATATGATATATTATGTATAGTCGATTTTCCGAAATCAAATGTCGATTAGGGTTCACTAAAACTAGTTTTAGTTTAGTTACTCCACTAGACAAATTCAAAACTTTAACTTATCTGCACAAGCCCGACAGATCTGGCTCATTGATGTCAAAGTCGATCGTGTCTGCTGTGCTGGGCTCATCAGGGTGGTCTCTCTATACGTCCAACTCTTCATCTTCAGCCGCCAGAGGGATATCTACAGGCAAATCCAATTCCTCTTCATCGGAATCGTCCAGTGACACTTCAGTGACGTTGTCACAGGATTTCTCATTGCAGTATGCACAAATCATTGAACATTTTAATCCTGCTTTTCTGCATCCGCAGGCTTTACCATAGTTGTTGGTTTTGCATTTACATGATAAAAATGCCAATAGGGATTTTGGAGCTGGATCTTTCAAAGTTGTGACTGGAGTAATGCCTGTTATTGTTTTCTTCCAACCAAATTCCAACAGCACGACAATTAATTATTCATAAATTAACGACCGAATTAATGATACGCCACTGTTTCCATGACAAAATTGAAGAAACTAAACTAAAACTAGTTTTAGTGAAGACTAATCGGCATTTGATTTCGGAAAATCGACTATATTATACAGGGTTGTTCACCACATACGACACGGAGTATTATAGCTAAACGATTAGATTTTTACAAATTTTAAGTTTTGGGTTCGTTGAAGGACTATTAGAGCTACAATTTAGAAATAATTTTACAAGATACAGAGTGTCCCAAATAAGTAAAAAATGCTATAGTTGTATTTTTTTAAATGGAACACCCTGTATATTATTACATTTTTAGATTTTACGATTGAAATAAAGGTAAATTTTATTAAAGTTTATCACACTTAAACCTTACCGTTTTTGAAATATTTTCAATTTTGTGAAATTGCAGTAAAAATTTTAAGGCTTCATTTCTCCAAGGGTATCAAAGTTTTTAATACTAAATATTTACTGAAGTTTATTTATTGATCAGTTATTGTGTTGCAATAATAAAAATTATACTACCTTATACAGAGTGTCTAAAATTTTATTTTAAATAATTACTAGCTTTAAACGGCAATAACTTGTTTAATTTAAATAGAACACCCTGTATATTTTATGAGAATCAGATGCACAATTTAATTGTCTATCAAATTGTATTATACCATTTTTTACCTATCCTTCAAGTTTTCGTAGAAAATGCATTTTCTTATAATTTAGACCTCATTTATCAATATATCCATGGATATACCATTAATTAAATATAACACCATTATTTCAGCTCCATATACTAATTAATGACATACTTAATTGTGTTCGTTAATAAATTATTATAAATAAATGTGGATTTTTGAGTCAGAAATCAATATAATAATAAGTTATCATATTGACATTTTTGATTGTTTTAAAGCGACAAATGTACAAAATGAAATATCATTTTTAAGTAATATTATCGTTTTTTAGCAAAACGATAATATTACTAGCCCATTTGTATGCAAAAAGAAAACTATTTAAATATTTATAAAAGAGTATACCATTAATTAAATATAACACCATTATTTCCGCCCATATACTAATTAATGACATACTTAATTGTGTTTATTTTTTAATAAAATAAACGAATTATATCGACAATATTAGTATCTGTACTCTTTAAAAATTTGGTACATCTTTAAAAATAATCTAAAATGTCAATAGTCCATGGGTATATTGATAAATAAGTTCTAAATTACAAGAAAATGCATTTTCTACGGAAACTTAAAGAGATAGGTAAAAAATGGTATAATATAATTTGATAGACAATTAAATTGTGCATCTGATTCTCGTAAAATATACAGGGTGTTCCATTTAAATTAAACAAGTTATTGCCGTTTGAAGCTAATAATTATTTAAAATAAATTTTTAGATACTCTGTATAAGGTAGTATTATTTTTATTATTGCAATACAATAACTGATCAATAAATAAACTATCAGTAAATATTTAGTATTAAAAACTTTGATACCCTTTGGAGAAATGAAGCCTTAAAATTTTTATTGCAATTTCACAAAATTGAAAATATTTCAAAACGGTAAGGTTTAAGTATAATAAATCTTAATCAAATTTACCTTTATTTTAATCGTAGAAACTAAAAATGTAATAATATACAGGGTGTTCCATTTAAAAAAATACAACTTTAATATTTTTTACTTATTTGGGACACTCTGTATCTTGTAAAATTATTTTTAAATTGTACCTCTAATAGTCCTTCATCGAACCCAAAACTTACAATTTGTAAAAATCTCATCGTTTAGCTACAATACTCCGTGTCGTATGTGGTGAACACAACTCTGTATACATATATCATACTTTACGCAAAATTGTAAAAATTCCAGGGATTTTGTGCCTAAAACAGTTGACTTTAGCGAAAATTTTCATATAACCTTTTTTATAGGAAATTTTAGTCTCTTTAATTTTGCTCTTTTCAAATAAATTTTTGCGAAAAACGCATAGTTTTCGAGATATTTACAAAATACCGTAATAATAATATTTAAAAAAAAACTACTAAGTTGCAGCTAAACTACAGATTTTTAGACACAAAAAGAGTTTTTACAAAAATATCAAATACGTGTCGAGCTTTTATATTAACCTTATGGGCTGAAAAAATCAACAAAATTGGTCCATGTTTTTCAAAGTTACAACTCATTGAAAATGAGTAAAAAAATCGCGGTGGTATTTAATTTGACGGGCAGTTTAGATTAGATAATAAAATATTAATATGTCTCGAAAATCCAAATATTCTTATTATGGACTGTAACATAGCATTACATCAGAACACATATACATATATCCACTGCCTAGGTAGTGCATAGGTTTTTTTCGTTTGAGTCATGGCATATCAACTATATAATAACCTAAAAAATGCTGCAGTTTTAATGGCGACCGCGGTTCATTCAGTTAAAAGCACGTGTACACGAGGAGGTTGCTGCTGTAGCAGAAAAGATAGGATTTCTTTTTACAATGTGTAAGAAAGTATATACCCGAAAAGCTAAAAGTAATGTATTTCACAGAGGATTGGGTCAGCTGAACTGAATGAATCAGTTAAACCTTGAAGAATTGTGACTTTTACAGGTAGTTCTTGTTGCTCACTTTTGGACCACTATTTTTATCGACTTTTTTCTCATAAAATTCAACAATTTGGCGGGTGCGTTTCACCTAAAATCACTTGTAACTTTTTCACCACTATTTCTATCGATATTTTTTTCACTAAAACTATCAATTGCCGGGTTCTTTTCACCAAAACGCTTCACTGCACCGTTTAGACTCTTTTTCCGTCGATGTTTTTCCTTTGCTTAGTGCGTTTTGTTCGGTTTTTGTTCTATTTTCGAACGGCGCGGCGCGTGTCCTCGGCGAATGCATCGCGCGTCTAAAATGCATCTCCCCCAGTGCCGGGGGGGACGGAGGGGAAACGACGGACGCAGGCGTCGAGGGCGTCGGTTGAATCAATACAGGGATCAGTGACGTGCAAGGTATTTTAGAAGGTTTTAGTTTATAAAGTCGCTAGGGATCAGTGGCGTTCAGTGTACGAATCAAAGCAGGGTAGGCAAAAACTGGCAAAATAAGAGCATTAATAAGCAACTACTACGCTGTACTATCACAAATTACCTATAACAGATGCGAAAGAAAGCGACTGCATCGGAAATCGCTCGGCAAACCCGACACGCCTATTGAGTGGTGTAAATACACCAGTCGTTTAGTCCGGAAACCTATGCTGTGTCGTATTCGCTTGCTGGAATGACATAGTGCGTGGTTATATGTTTCTTTTTAAAAACGCGTGTAGGATTTTTGTTGAACTTTTAAACTGTTATTTCTAAGTTTTGGTAATTTGTATATCTTTTTTAAAATGGGATGTGTTTATTTATAAGGAAAAAAAAGATATTTATAGTATAAAAAATTAATTTATTTAACAAAATTTAATTAAAAATGTGACAAAATAGTTACCTTTCTATTGGTTCTATCGGACTTTTTTCGACTATATAAATCTTTATTTGTAAACTTTAATACATCAAATATTTTTAATTTAATAAATCATTTAATGATGTAAATAAGAGGAAATTTCTCACATGGGTGGTCAAATTTTATAGTTTTCATTATATCAAACAGCCTCTGAGAAATGTTTTCAATTCAAAATGCCTTTAATTATGTTTGACTACATCATTAAAAAGGGTCTTCAAATACATCAATGTGATATTTGTCTAAAATTTGCAAAAGAATCCGAATCTCTGGATAACTCGAAATTATTTACCCATTTAAAAGCCTTTGATCATGAAAGTGGAAAAATTTGTTCATTTTATTTGCAGGCTGGAAAAATTATTTATATTAAATTTTGATGAGTTTTGCACTGAAGAAAACATTCAGAGGCTGTTTGATATAATGAAAACTATAGAATTTGACCACCCATGTGAGAAATTTCCTCTTATTTACATCATTAAATTATTTATTGATTGAAAATATTTTATGCATTAAAGTTAGTACAAAAAATAAAGATTTATACAGTCGAAAAAAGTCCGATAGAACCAATAGAAATGTAACTATTTTGTCACATCTTTAATTAAATTTTGTTAAATAAATTAATTTTTTATACTATAAATATCTTTTTTTTCCTAATCTCCGACGAGCTGATATAATATGACGAGCAATCTATTAAATTACTGTGAGATTATACAGAAAAGTCCACAGACTTCGAGACATAGGAAAATCAAGTCCATTTAGCGTGTGTCCAAATTTTGACAAGTTTTCAAAAATGACAGTTTTGTTTAGACTGACGCGACGTTTAATTTCACCTGACTTCTCGGTGAATGATTTCTTGTTATGGGGGTACATAAAATCTAAAATTTACGGCCATGAAGAAGTTAAAAACTTGGAGCAGTTAAGGCAGAAAATATTTAATGTCTTTGACACTGTCACCTCTGATATGTTATCCAATGTGAGGAGGGGATTTTATGATCGTTCGGGTTATTGTTTAATGCAAGAGGGAGGCACTTTTGAACAATTTTTGTAACTTTTTAAATTTCATTATCCTGTTTTTTTACCGTTTACCCATTACCTACCTTGACAAACATGGGAAAACGAAGGTCCTTTTCAGGACCACAAATATTTTGATTGAGAAAATTGGTAACTTTTTTTGGATTAAAAAAGAAAAGTTGTTAATATAATACCAATTTAAAAGTGTTTTAGTAGTTTTAATACACACTATGATATAAAATTTATTATTATTATAATGTACATTATTAATACTATTGTTCATTCGAAATGGTATTAAGGCCCAATTGCAACAATGATTTAAATTTTTCTTAAAGATAAGTAGAGCTTAGAATGAGCTGTATTTATATTTACTTTAATATTCACTTTAAATGAGGGAATTTGACTGAAACAATTTTTGAATTTGAATTGTTTTTAATGATACTAACAATTTTAGTTCAATTTTTAATAAAATTTATTTAATATTAATAGAAATCCAAGAGATTTGAAACCTCTTTTAGCGATTTATAACATTCTCAAATGAATTACAGGTGCCCTTATTTTCTATGAAAATCACACAGCTTTTTTTCATAGTCGCTACAGTTGCTATAGCTATAAAAAACTAATTTTTAAGGTGTGAAAATTGCGATACACGCTAAATGGACTTGATTTTTCGTATGTCTCGAAGTCTGTGAACCTTTTTGTATGCCTCGATAACATATTGGTGCAGATTATTTTCACCCAAACAAATAATAACCCAAACTATACATTGATGCGGATTGTCTATGAACTCTTTCTGAAGGTCACAGAAACCTGAACGCGTAATTCGGTGTTCTTTCGCATCTGTTATAGGTAATTTGTGGTACTATCGAGTCGCTCTGAGGGGTCGGGTAAAACGGGTGTGTGGCCGAAGGAAATATCTGTACTAATATATAAAATCCTTAAGTGACTGACACACTGATTAATCACGATCCTGCTCAAACCACTCAACGTAAGAAGCTCAATTTTGGCATACAGGTTGATTCTAGGTTGTAGAGGTTCGATAAGAAGGGATTTTTCGAAATTCCAGTTCCAAGGGGGTGAAACCACCCCTCAAATATTACAATATTTTTTATTTAAAAAACGGTCAAGTTTCCGAAAAAAAAAACGCTTAAACACGTATTTTTTATTTTGTTTTTTTACATATTTTAAGATTTTTTAAAAATGTATACAGAGTGTTTCGAAAAATCTGGTCATTGATTAATCACGATCCTGCTTAAAGCTCTTGACGTAAAAAGCTGATTTTTGGAAAACGGATTGACTTTAGGGTGTAGAGGTTCGATAAGAAGGGATTTTTCGAAACGTGAATTCTAAGGGGGTGAAACCACCCCTCAAATATTAGAATATTTTTTTATTTAAAAACCGGTGAGTTTTTCGGAAAAACTCTTAAACATGTATATTTTATTTTGTTGTTTTACCTATTTTAAGATTTTTTAAAAATTTATACAGGGCGTTTTATAAAATATGACCATTGAGTAATCACGATTCTGCTTAAACTGCTTGACGTTTAAAGCTCATTTTTGGCAAAAGGATCGACTGTGGGGTGTAGAGGTTCAATAAGGTGGTGTTTCTCGAATCTCAAATTCCAAGAGGGTGAAAACGCCCCTCAAATATTACAATATTTGTTATTTAAAAAACGGTTAGTCTTTCAGGGAAGCGCTTTTTTTTAATTGAATAATTTATGACAATTTTGTGTAACACTTATTGACTTGTGTATTGTGTATGTATTTGATATTTAGCACCAATAAACTATTTGAATTTTTGAATTTGAAATTAAAATGACAGACACATCTATCACTGTCAAGCATTTTGTTGGACAGACTATAGACTTAAATCGACAGACTATAGACTTTAAGTCTAGAGTTATAATGTAATGATATAAAAAAAGATGTTATGATTTTGTCTGGGGTAGGCAACGCCTTTTTGCCTACATTATATACACGCCACTGAATGTATGCCACTAGATGAGTGGAAGAGATAACAGGTTATTATTCACAATTTTTTTTCATTGATAATTATATTATTTTTTACAAATATATGTACATCGCGGAAATGCGGTTCTTCTTATCATTTCTATATGATATATTTTGGTTCAATTATACTTTTATGAATTTTATATAAATACTTATTAATTATAAATAAAAATCTGATAAGGAGACTTGATAATTTTACAATAATATTAACTGAAAATATTTAATGATATTATGTTAGAAATCCAAACCCCACTAGAAACATGGCGTTACATCTATAGGGTGCGTCTCGAAAGTGGCCCACCTTTATAACTTTTTAATTTTTTCCTATAAAAAAAAACGAGATTTGGTACGTTAGTATATGACATAAATTATGATTTATTGACGTATTCAATTGTTTTTGGTCACTTCCTGTTTCACCGGAAATGACTACAACTTTTGATTTTTAAATGGCACACTCGGTATATTTCTACTTTATTCGATAGAAAATGACACTCTGAATAGAAAGACATATCATAATTCAACTTTTAACATTTTCGCTTAAAATTCGTACAGGATGTTAAAACTTTAAAATTAGATTTTCTGTACCTAATTATCTTAAATACCATTATTTTTTATTTGAAATTGCTATAGGTTGGACTAATAGTGATAATAACTAATAGTAATAATATTTAATAATAAATTAGGTAAAATATATGATTTATTAATTTTATTTTTATTTTAATTTTATTAATTGTGATTGATAAAATTGCGTTTATCTCATCAAGGAGGCCGAATTCGACAAAATATCAAAAGATAATTTTTAATTGGCATTAAACGGCTTATACAATTTTGATATTCCTTATACAATTTTGATATTCCAGTTATAACCCAAATTTGGCACAAAAATACTGTGGCACCCGAGAATCTGGCCATTAGTTTTTGGTGGGGGTGGGGGGTTGGTAAGGGGGTATGGGAGGGGGTTAAAAATTTTAAAACAATCGTAACTCCAAAATTACAGTAGCTAGCGAAACGCGGTTTTCAATTTAAAATTAGGAATAATATTTGCAACAAAATTTGTCAAACATCAAAATCAGTCAAATGTTTTATGAAACACACTATAATAATAGTTAACAAACATTTAGGTAATATTTGTAATAACACCGATTTAAAATTTCTTTATAACTTACCATCTTCCATATTTAGTCACCAGATTTTACAATCCTTCACAAATAACCATATCACTTGTTACATTTTCACAACTTTACCGATGTACTTATACGTATTTTTTTCGAGAATCTCCTGCTGGAAAAAATCCAACTCAAACCGTACCCTATTGTCGTTTCGATACACATTTTACCGACTGCGAAACAATCGCAACGGTTCCAATCTTTCGCCCAATGAGGAGCTGGATTCCCA